ACTGAAATATACTCATTAAAGTTCATGGTAGTTTCATTGAAATTGACTTGCAAACTATCTTTACTTTAAATGGACATCACGTCCATCATCATGATCCAATACGATGTGGTATATTCTTTGAAKCAAAAAACATAGTCTAGAAAGAAGTCGGCGAAACACGTATAACATATCTATCATTAGAATTCCAAGGTTTTGAAAGAAATTGACGAGTTTTTTTTCCAAATCCAGGGTATAGCAACATCCCCGTATCACCCTCAAACGCATAATATTGTGGAAACACGAAATAATACATTCAAAACAATGATAAGGAATTTTGCAGAGATTTTTCAATCTTATGCTTCGTGATGTTTTTTTGTCTCATTTTCCTCTTTCGCCTTCTTCTTCTATTCCTTGTCTTCCTCCTTTCTAATCTTCCCAATCACTGTGTCAAATYTTAATATAATCATTCCGATTCGCATCTACAGTACTAATAAATACGCAATCTTTTTCACAGAATTTACTCTATTAACTGTTAACTTAAATTTTTGTGCAGTCCCATTACTTACTATCTATCATTGTTCTATTTATTTCTCTATTTTTTTCACTAATACGAATTGTAATCCATTGGSCTACCTCAATTAGTTTTTTGTTCTATTCATAAGCAACTATAAATACATACAAAATACCAATGAATTAAACAAATTGAATTCTGGACAGCGATCAGACATGACTGGGAYCAGCTAATACCKTAACTGCTTTTCGCATACCGAGAAGTTCYACAAGGATCATTTCTCCATTTTTTCTATTCAAGCTACTATATGTRTGGGGAAAGGCTAGAGGCCCTTACAGGTCATGAACACAAAAGTACTGTATCCGATAGTTGTCAGCATGAGAGAAAGAGTGGCAAATCTAGTAAACGAAAACACGAAAGAAATGCAGCAGCGACAAAAGAAATAGTATGACACAAAGTCGAAAGTCAGTCTTGATTCCGACCAATAAGTGCTCCTATTACCAAGTAGAACGGCCAAAGAACATAGTGACATAGTTATGAAAGAGGATGAAACACCCGTTCAATACCATGTCCGATACCACATGCCAAGATTTAAAAAATTAAGGAGGAAGTACAGGCTGTGAAAGACCATAGTTAACTCTGCTAACTAGGATACCTTGAATATCAACAAAGATCACAGAAGCAGTTTCAAAATGGGAACAGCCCAAAACCAGTTCTTCTTCGGACTGACCGTCTATAACAGTAAATTGTTCCAAATTACGGAGAAATTGAAGCACCTTTAACCGATCTAACTACAAAGAAGAAATCAGAGAAGGTGACTTGGACTCCAGAATGTAAACATTTGAAGACTTGAAGACAACCTGATGTTCTCCTTAGTTCTAAGAAATCCAGACTTCAATAAACAGTTTATAGTACCACAGTTAGTAGTCTACTAACTATAGTATTACAGACTGGTGCTTTAGAAAGAGGGCTTGGAGCAGTATTGAGATAGTATGATGATGAAGGTAAAGATCATCCAGTTTTGTATTTAAGCCGAAAGTTGTTGCCAAGAGAACAGAATTATACAACCATCGAGAAAGAATGCCTGGCTATAAAGTGTGCCATTTGCAGTCTACAGCACTATTTTCTTGGAAGACATTTCAAGTAACGAGATAAAATATGACAACACAAGTCTTGACGAGATATAGTCTAGATCTCCAGCTATATATATAGCTATGAAGTGATACTTTGCAAAGGACTATAAAATGGGAATGCTGATGGTTTGCCAAGGACCTGAGATTGTGACATGATGTATCAAATCCCATTGTAGCTTTGTTTGCAAAAAAAAAACAACAACAAAAAACCCCTTAAATCTTCAATGGCAGTCAACGTTTAGTAATAAACAATAGAAAACAAAGGACGTAATAAAACTTAAAACGCAGCAATATATGTTTTTTACTTTGCACCCTTCTGGTAACAATTACTCTCATATTGGTTGTCATTTTTGTCACTTTGTGAAATACTCATTTGAATGCTAAACGTTCCTTACCTAATTCCCAGTGGACTCCCAGAGGAGCCATCAAAAACACCCCCTTGAAGCAGGTGAGCCACTGTGTAATAAGCATTGTATATAGTGGAATCTGATAGAGATTCCACGAGATACTGCTCATCCCAGGGTAATCTTGTACCTACGCAAAGATCGTCAGTAATCAGTAAAATCGGTATCTCTTCATTATTGACGCTATATAATCATATATTATTTAAAAAAACGTCTGGCGTCTGAACATAAAGGATATAATTATGTGCATATTTGAAAGATTAGATAATTGGATATAAGTTTCTGATGTGTAATCACGCTAACTAAGTTTCTTATATACACGCATTAATTAGGAACAGTCTATACTAACCTAGACCATATGACCTAGAGCAGGCGTGCTCATGCAGCCAATCTAGTGTAGCAATAAAGTTCTTCCGTGTATCATCAGAATATCTAAACATCCCGAAAACAAAGTTTAACATTTCTTCATTATATATTACCCATATGTAGATGAATCTTCATCAGTATCAGAAAAACATTTAAGAGTGGAAACACTTTTACGGCATCTAATGTTTAATGACCTAATGTTTTGTTAATCACCTCTTATCTCTGTATTGAAGTAGACTTTCAGAACTAGTCCCAACAAGGACAATAAATGGGGTTTGAATTTTGAGATATTAAACTTACGTGTTACACATGGAGAGAGCTTCTTCTGTGACTGTTTTCCATGACTGCTCGCCATAGTCCAGGTACCTAAAACCAAAGTAATCTCAATATAGCATATACGTATGTTAACTTTTCATTTGACATCACATTAGGCATGTCGTCTCATTATTTGGCATGGACTTATACTCGGCAACAGTTGTACTAGACTTGGAAAAAAGTATAGTAAAATATTAATACAGCAAGGATGATCATCATGGCTTAATTCMCATAAATGGAATCACCTGTTTTTTTCTTCTTTGAGCTACAAGTAAACTACTTCAATTAACATTATGTATACATTATAATTTTTTTTCGTAGTCCTGGGGATGCTGCAGGATAGCTGTTACTAACAGCATAAAGTRTGCAACACAGACAAGTTGAGAGAAGACGTACCATTGATCACACAGTGCCACTACACACTCATCACCAGAACGAGATATGACCAACTTCTCTGGCTCCATGTAAATACGAGCATTCCCCTGAAAAGAAGAATAACAAATGATACTTTAAAGGACTCTCCACAATGAATCCTTATCAAATTATTAGCCTAAATGATTGGCAACATCTGTAACAAGCTAGAATGCTGGCTTACTTATTGTAGCAAACTTTTCAAATTACAGCAAAACATTCTTCTTGCACATGTAAAGAAAATATCTAATGTGCAGCATTGCTCCTTAATTAAATTTTCAGCATGAGACAAGTCATGCCATAGCTTTAATAGCTAACATTAAGTTTACTGGMTGTGTAGTACTTACGGCATCTAACATCTYTTTTTGCACAAGTTTCTTAACATCTTGTACTTTTTGTCCCTTGAAATCACCTACAATCATGACACCCTCGTAGAAGCCTTTCTTGTATGTGACATCTTTTGCTTCTGATAGCTGATCACGATCATTTTGACTTTTTATCTTCAAGTCGTCACATGCTTTAACAGCACACAAATTWCCATATCCTGGTACTTCGATGATAGGGATGGGATTATAAGGAATAACCATGTCATCTGTTACACCAAACTTCTTACGGAAATCCTATAGTTTGAGACAAAAAATTTATGTTAAGCTACATTGTGTGTCTAGTTTGCTTTTCATGATTGAAAAATGATATTGACAATAATTTACATATATTTCACCCACCAGAACATGAAAATTTTGAGGCCTAAGAGTATCTTACTTGTTTGTTCTTTAAGTCTCTTAGTGCAGCAAAGTCATCTGGCGCATCTGATGGGACAGATGTAACTACACCAGTTCCTGATAATAATGATGTTTAGATGTGAAAACAGCTACATATCATTCACAAACCACACTTGCACTCAAGTTACTAAAGTTATGTGTGATAATCTTTTTTAAAAGTCCTTTTCAGTTATTTCTCTTGATTTACTCTCTTTATTTCACAGAGTATTTGTGTTCCCCAATACTGGTAGCTAGTCTTCAAATGCAAAAGATGACAGTCATGTACCTTTATCTTCTTTTATAGTCAGCATAGGTAGTGTGTATACAACTTTGTTYGAGGTCAGAGGTGCTTGTAATGCAAGACCCATGATGTCCTAAATTCCAAAAAATACATGTTGTATACATTAATTTTGCAAGTCTGTAAAAGATATACCTTTTGATAATCAATACATACATCAACAACAACAACATACAAACAAACTGCTGAAAGACAATTCAAGATGGTAAGGATGCAGATCTAAGAAGTAGTTATAAGAAAAGTACAATTATATCAATGTCAACAATGATTATCATCAGTACTGATTTACCTGACCAGTTAGGTCAACCAAAACATTCACTTCATCTATGGATGTAAACCCTTGATAACACATGTTTCTTGCTGAGCGACTGGTACAAATGTATACTTCATTGGTAATGTTGCTCTCAAAGGCTATGTACTGAGATAGGATACCATGTTACAATCACATCTAATTGTCAAACCTTAAAAATTAATTTTTAAAAAGTAATTTTTTATTCCAAAATAAAAGGCTTTAATTTTTGTTTTAATGCTGGGACGATGAACATAAAATATTACACGATCAATTTCCCCCAAGTTATCTAATATAATTTCCTTTTTTTGTTCTCAATCCATATATAATATCGATACCTAATAATATTCATCCTAATTGATGAAGAAGCTTGATGTTTGCATACAGCAAATATAGGGCAGTTTATTACCTTCATATTTGGTCTAACCCAGCAATTGGTTTGTCCATACATGGTCTCTGGTCTAAGAGTTGCTGCTAAAAGGTAGACATCTTTACCAGCTAACAAACTATGAAAACAAGGCAGATTTCAAGGAGTTACAGTGTGTGCATTTATAAGGCATAGTACAAATGGGTTCTATACCAATAGAGGTTTTGCATTATATGAGTGATAACAATTTCTTCTTCTTCTTCTTAAATCCTATAAAATATTTTTTCTGGTCCTGACATCATACAATAAAGCTGCCAAATGACTAAAATCTTCCAGTTTTTGTCTTCACTGTTTAAAATGATAAAATGGCAGACCRTTGCTGTACTTCGGTTGCCAGACAGTCTAAATGTACTATAATWAWTAATATAGYATTTTCTAAGTTGCATTACAACTGGATGTGAGTTCACAAGCTTTATAACTGGAGTGTGATTTAGACTGCAAGTGGTTAATGTCATATATGGTGTTATAATGATAATTTCATTGTAAACAAACAAAACTCAATTCACCTCAATTTCCCTTTGAATGGTGGAACCACCTTCATTTTAACCACAGTGTACTCTTGTGGTCCAACTCCCTATAAGACAATTTTAATCACTCATCACAAGAATAATTAAAGAAATTGAGAATTTGATAATATGGAAACATAAAAAAACTAGTATGTGATACCTAACTTTGCACTCTTGTGTCTGCAATAGCAGCGAATGCTTAATAATTAACATTTTCATAGGCAGGAATCCTTTTTAGGAACAATGGTTTCAGATGTCATCATACAAATGTTCAAATAGAGTTAGTACAAAGATGTTATTATAGCAAAAAAGGAATTATATAGCTAGGATGTAACACATGATTTCATTGGCTAAAAAGCAGGCCATACTTTCCTGTACGGACCAGATGAAACAAGAAAAACTTTTTTATCTCAAAAAAGCTTGCTTTCTCTCTTTTTGTAGTTGTACTGTATAAAGAAGAGTCAAAAATGAATCCAAATTTTGCCTTCGAGCTTTCTCAGACTTTTCTTTTTTCGTTCTATTTTGAATGACAGGAAAAGTACGAACAAAAATGTATTTTTATGTCTGATTCTCTATTAATTTTACTATTTTTCCCTGAAAATGTTATTTCAAATATCTTATTAACCTCACTTGCTCGAGCCATACGGGAAGTTATGAAACCTTTTTTTTTCACTTTTTTATGTCCCTCGCACTATGCGCTCTGGCCATAAGTCAGTGGAAAAAACTGACATACGGTCCTCGCACTCGGTTAATATATATTAATATACAAATTATTGCCTAGGACACTTTGTCTTGTGAAACATACCTCGCCACTTTGCCTGTCATGATCCATACATGGTTGATCATCTTTTGGAGAGTAAATTGTATATCTTGAAAATGATAATGGAAATATTGGAAAGCTTTGCCAGTAATAATAAACATACAGTCATCCCATTTATGTCGTTCAGTTGTAAAGACATAGACATTTGCTTAAAAAGTTTTTTTCAATCACTGCGAAGGATTTTGATTTAAAACTCATCAAAATCATGCTTGAAAATTAAATGTTATTGACATTGTCATAATTAAAGTCTTGGGGAACATGAGGTCAAATAATCTTGCAAACATATAAAATGAAATATGTTATATGCAAATGACACATCATTTGTGCTAAAATAAAGACCATTTAAGAAAGATCCATATTTCAAGACAAATTGTTTTTTCTCATAGTGCCAAAGAATATTCATTTGTTTAACCAAATGACCTCTAAAATACAAATAAAAAACATATGTTCAACTTATAGAAGCTGTGTAAAAAATTAGTAACTTTTTATAAAAACATCCAGTTAGTTATAATTTTTTCAAATCTGCCTATTTTATGTAACTTCRATGCAGCCTGTCCCTCCTTGCTTTCTATATTTCATCTAYAGTTTTTGGTTCTGACCTTTACTGGGCATRTCTTACATAGTATTAAAATAATGTGAAGTTGAATAATTTATGAGTTAGATGCACTTGAAGTCAAGAACAACAAGCTGTGAAAAAATTATAGCCATCAACAGCAGTTGATTCAAGGATAAGGATAATCAACAATGATTGGTTTTCCTAAATGATTCTGCAATCATTTTTTCCACTGAGTCTTTGCATATTTTTTTCGATGGTATTCTATTAATATTTATAAAGASTCCTTTAGCAAGTCTTTAAATAATCTTTGTTACTATAATCTTTCCCTCTATAAGCTTCACTTAATTGCATGTGGATGACTATAAATATGTTTARTTGTCTTATTAGTTTGTCTTCACACCTTTTTCCAAACTTTACTTTTCCTCTTTTCTTCAGGGTCCAAAAGTGCCATCTTACAAATGAATCATAATAAGGATTGACATCCGTTGTGATGAAAGACCGACGCCAATCAACCTTAAACAAAAATAATTTCCTTAATAAAATAACTTCCTTAAATCACATAAGTCACCATAATTTATTTGGAAAATACGGTTAAAAAAGTTCTGCTCCAGATGTTGTTGTGTGCAGTTGCTTTTTTCTTGTCTCATTTCAGTGTAATTTTTTCCCCTGTCAATCTACAGTATTTATATTCCATCACGCATGGTCATATACAATTTCAAKAAATGTTTATYGGTCCACATATTCTCTAATATTTATGCAGCTATACCTTTAATCCCATAGCCTTTAAATCAGCTTTTGCTAGTGGTGGAAAATACTCCAACCAGTAATCTGTGGCAGCAAACCTGCAAATTCGCAATATAATATAAACTGTCAAAATATTATATTCTTTACAACACCTTTCTAAGTCACTTGATTACAGATTTCTCATGTTTTAATTTAATGTCATTTAACTTTGTCATTTTTGAGGGTAATTTCACAAAATTAATAAAATTATTTAGATGTACATATCGAAGGTCTCTCAAGTACACATTGAAGCTTTATCAATTATGCATAATATTTTAWGGTTATTCTTGAATGCCATTGCATATTTACCAGTGACAAAAATTCAGGTTCATTCAAGCAAACTGATCTCATGGATGGTTTTAAGTTTAGGTTTAGGAAAAAMATAGGGTTTGGCAATGCATAGTACAGATTTATGTTCAGGGTATACTTGTCTAAAAGATCTTTGAGTTGTGTTTGCCATTGGCRGCTTGTTTAATATGTAAATTGTATGACAGATCCTTCTCAATAAAAGTTAACTGAACGCACATTAAATATATTTTTAATTTTCTCAATCTTTGGGAAAAAGCATTTATTTATAATAATAACAGGGCTCAAAATAATGTCCAGACCTATTCAGGACAACATGTCCTTCCAAATTCATTTCTGGAAGGTCATGTCCAGTTTTGAAAGGACAAAAACTTTATTATATACTCTTATTTTCTTTTAATTTATACGTTTTGGTATTAAGAAAGGTCGGCAAGCATTTTAATGGCTTGTAAAAGATTTACTTAGTGAATTGAGAATTGATTTGTCTAAAAATGTGGCAGGTCAGTTTTTCCTTTCAAAACCCGATTTGGCCGGTCATCTAATGAATTTGGAAGGACACTGTCCTTTGACCGGCTGTTATTTCGAGTAATCGAAAGCTTACTTTGGAATCTGATCATCAGGTATTCCAAGTGACTGCATAATTTGCCATTGATATTTGCTTCCACCTGTCTTGGCAGCCACTTTGCTCTTAAGCTTGRATCAACAACAATGAGGGAGAGTTGAAAACACTGACCCCCGGTCTACGGACCCCTCCATGGACCATGTCCACGGACCACACYCATGAAAACATTGCAAATGCCAAATAATAGATTTGACAAGGATTATTTTGTATTTGCTCATCCAATAAAGGGTGTTAAGTTAATGATTTATCTTGTCATGTTGTCTGTGTTGTCGGTCGGCAGCATTGTAACGTCAGCCTTCTATTTGATTTTTTTTTGAAACCACAATCACTCGTGCTTCGATCTTCAGYTTGCCGCATTATAGATTGAAAATTCAAACAGCTTGATTTATAGTGCGCAGATTTACATTTAAAGAGTAGGAAAATGCTATTACATGGTATAATTTTTTAGCTTTAGCCAATTTTCTTTCGACTGCTAACCGCTGACCACTCCTTTTTCACAAGCACAGATGGTTGAGGGATTTCTGCGCACTATAAATTTCTAATTAATGTGAAGAAGCAAGAGGAATTGTGGTGCAAAAAAATCACATGAAAATATAATGTGTAGAGGACTGATGTGACAAAGTTAAAATCGAAACCCCCGTCCCCAACTACCGGGACGAGCGGAGTATTAAATAGTGACATGCTTTTATCAGCAGGATTGCCCCAGGGGTCGGGATTTTGACGAATTGTTTTTGAAGTGGGGCATGTATGAAATTTTTTTTAATAGAAACTTATTACTCAGTCCATAGCCTCAATGTAGTACGCAAAAGATTATACAGGATTATACAAAAATTAACCMTGTGTATCACAGAAAATTTGACTGCATGAAAGGTGCTTGTTTTGTTATTTACTACTAGACCAAAACAGCGGGACAAGTCTAGCGGGGAYTKTAACAACCGAGTCTTACCGGGGGAAACGTCTTATTTCAACGCCACTCAAACATTAAATTTGTGGTTTTTCCCGGGGGTTGGGAAGCGACCGTTTCAATTGTCTATAAATATTAACACCATTACATGACACTATGACTTTGAATTAAAGTCAAAATATTGTATTCGCTCTTCAGACTCGTTTCTTAATCCAAAATTTTGGTTTCCTAAACGATGTTTTCTTTCCTCAGAATTGTAATCATTTAAATTGTCTATATAGCATGCATAACAGCCTTTATTGGATGAGCAAATGCAAAATAATTCTTGTCAAATCTATTGTTTGGCATTTGCAATGTTTTCATGGGTGGYCCGTGAAGGTGGTCCATGGAGGGGTCCGCGGACCRGGGGTYAGTGTTTTCAACTCTCCCACAACAAATATGATTTTAATTCAAAACTCTGACTACACCAATTTATTTTTGTTTTACRTATTTTTGTCTTACATTTATTATATTAACTTCTCCATGTAAAGTTCCCATATAAAGTATACAATTTTTTTTCGAATTTTTCGGATTTGTTGAAATGTCAGTAATGCATGGAAAAAAGTAGCTATCTACCAAATGGTAGCGTTCATAATGTTATGAACACAAGCCATATTTTCAATACCATAATTTTATCTTGAATTCTTATGACTTCCATCCTAGAAAAGCATCAATAAACACTACCTGGACACTTGTATCCTCATTTTTATCTTCAGCAGGAAAACTTGGAGGATTTCCAAAGTCATTCATTTCTCTTTTTAGTTTATCAGCACACGCCTAAAAAGGTAGGGAAGCTCTTACAACAAGTACATAATTATTAACCAATCCTCAAATTAGTTTGATCATGTAGTCTGYACACTGTACTGACCAACTGGCATGGTGTGCATAACAAAGCAGTTACCTTTATAGGCATTCCAGTGCAGTGGAAAGCAAATGGAAACAAGGCATGTTTTCCTTGCAGTCTATTGTATCCTGAGGCAAACTAAACRAAATACATGAGTCACTATCATGGATGATTACAAATAACAATCCTCTGATAATAGAAAGATACTTAGTATATAAAATTAGCTTGACCTGCAAATTAATGGTTTTGTTTTCTCTTCAGATTAAATATGGATATACACCTTAAACAGTTTCTGTACTGTAGATTTAAGATTACTCTCAAATCTACTAGATGTATTATTGATGTGAGCATAATTATCATATCCTCTAACCTGTAAAATTGTCAGATTTACTTACCTCAGCCTGAATGAGGTCAAACATGTTAAGGAAACAACAAAAGAAGTTAATATCTTARAAGTTGATAGAATAAAAGTCCAAATAACAAATGGATAGACAAATAAATGCCCAAAAGCATACCAATTGCAAATAAAAAATATGGGCACTCAAATCAAAAAGTTTATTATATATGAAATGTAACACGTTTTTTGGCACAATTAACATTTAAACTGATCAATGACATTTCTGAGAACAGAGAACCAATCTCAGAGACCTTGTTGACATTTGAACTTTTCTCATACATTTTCATCACAGTACATGTAAAACTATTAGAAAAATTATAACTAACTTTGCATACAAAATTAGAAATATGGTCTRTCAATCAATGAAATTGGTCACTGGACCATGTTCTGGCTGCTCTATAATCTATACCAAAATAAATTTGCGGCAGCTTGGATCTCATACAATGCTTGTATGTTCTATGTTTTTTATTCTTCTAAAAAGAATTCATGAGCCACTAGCATTGGAGAAATGTTTGAGGAATGTACAATCTTACTAGCCCTAATAAAYCTACATGCAAAGCTGTTTTCTTTGGAATAATATTAAAGGGCCATGGTCCACCAGCATCCCTTTCGAGCTTTTGCTCATATTTGAAAATAAATTAAAATACATCGTAACATAAGCAAAAACTTACTCTTTATTATCCCTTTATAGTATATGAATGAAGGTACTGTAAGATTCGACCTTTAAACTGATGGATTGGAACGGATTGCGAATGGATATTGGAAGTCACCTCATTTTCCATGAAAAATCTAAAACACGACCGTATTGAATGCTGGTGGAACATGTCCCTTTAATCTTTTCAAATTTGAATCAATACAACTGGTAATATTATATTTGGTACAATGTAACTGAAAGAGCTTGAACCCACCTTCGACAAAGAAAATGTGTGGCCAAGATGAAGCTTTCCATTCATGTATGGATAAGGAAAAGTACAAAAAAACTTTCCACTCCTGAAATCATTTAAACAATATCCAATACTAACTCTGAATTTCAGGTTACTGTTGATATTTATGAAAACCCACTCCTTTTTCAAACAACTTGGAATGGCATCCRGTGATCTCTCCCCAAGTGAGTTTGCCCTGTGATAATGTCATGTTGCTACATGTACATGACTATGCTTAAACAATGAGACAATCTGCTAAGGAGTCCAGAAACCTTCAAGAATTATAGGGGGCTGTATTATTAAGGGGCATCATATCATGTCATCATGATTAGTTTCACTGCATCAGCTTCAAAAAATAGGTCAACTCACCCTCCAGGTTCTGATCCAGTTTCAGGAGCATCCATTTCAAAAACCTTTTCTTGATCCCATTTTTTCTGCACCTCTGCTTCAACAGATTTGAGGAAATCTACCTTAGCAGTACTCTTTCTTTCAATCTATGGAGAAACACTAGTATTAAGGTTACCCCGGACACTAAATCATATTTCACATGATCAGCAACCCACAAAACTCGGCCAAGAGGTGACATATTGACCATATCAAATCATCAAAATAATAAAATTAGAGAAATTAAAAGATAGAGGAGTTGGTTGCATAAGAACCACYGAGAAAAGAGTAGGAGATCGCTGTGATTCCTACTAAGATGTCAACAATTTTGTTTTTTTCTCAGTGATGAAGTTTGATTTCTCAAGCTATAATTCAAYGTATTTATCTGACTATTTGAAAGGTGCCCCACTCTGAAGGCTTGATTCAAAACTTCCACAAGGTCCACCCCTAGAATCTCCCAAAAGGCACAATAAAACTCTTCTGGGAATCTGTCAAACCCAGGTGAYTTATTGGACTTCATAGTGAGCTAAAACACTCCCCTGTAGTCAGACCGGGAGTAAGAAAATTTTCCAGAGTATTTAAATTTCATCCTGAAGCTCCCCATCAGTGTCAGAAGCTGAGAATAGAYCGCTATAGTATGAACTCCAAACTCTTAGGAATTCCAAGTTAGGAATTACCGAGATGGGGTTTTCCAGAACATCAATGGTTTTATATAGTAGTCTCTTTTAACAGCCGCAACTTCCGGTCTTGTCAAATTTCCTCCCGAAAGTAATGGCTGTTTACCCAGGCGCAACATTCCTTTATGATTGTTTAACAACAACCGATCAAAAGAAGAGAGAGAGGATCAAAGGCAATCAAAACGTTTTGAATTGAGCCTTCTCATACTCATTAATTATTCATGAGGTATCCAGCCAATCCCTGATTGTAATTTGTACCACGTGAAGTAACTTGAAACCAGAGGAAGTACTCGTACAGTCTTGTATTCTACCTTATTTCCAGTTACTTCTACCTTTTTCAAGTTACTTCAGATCTACATTATTTCCAGCTATTTCTACCTTGTTTCCAGTTACTGCTATTTTTTTTGACTTATTAATTTTTAATTATTCATCTTCATGGTCTACCTGATTCTTTTTTTTTTTCGAAGAGAAAGAAAGAGACTCATGTACTCTATGTGGCTTGAAGCCCCAAACTCTCGCTTCAACGACAGAGACACTGCCACTAGGCCATGTGCGCATTAGACATTACGTCATGGCTGTTTCACTAGCTTTTATGCGACACGAGATCAAACCATGGGTTTCCTGTGTCATAATCAATAAAACTACTTCTCTAGGGCTACGAGGACCGAAATATAATGTTGTTACAAGATTCTATTCTTTTGCGTAAAATGTACAATTTGAAAGAAGTTTTTGAAACGGTTTCCGCTTCGAGTGTGTGTCAACAGTTAGAAAGAGTCGGTGAAACGGATCCAGGGAAACGTAAGCTTACATGAAGCTTCTCGACCCTAAATTGTTGTTGATAAACGTCTCGGCCGAATTTGACCATTTAAGAACTTACATAGAAAACAAGATTTCAAGCAAATGGTTGTGAATATGCCCTTTGGATCTTCAGATAAGCTATCAAAGTGCTATTTTGTGTATAATTATAATTAAAAGACTCCTTRTCATATGTTGTTCAGRCTCAGAACGGAACCACGAGGAAGACTCGCCAATCCGACTAATTTGTTTCGAAAACCACTTTACGTATGTTTTATTTATCCATGTTCGTCTACAATTCAAAAAATGTATTCACTTGCTAACGTACTATTACATTGTAATATTTGATATATAGTTTATTGTGTGGTTAGATATCGATAATACTTTCCGCGACGGAAACTGGCAAACACTCATAGTACAATGGTGCCGTACAGTTGGTCGGGATTCAATCGAACCAACTATCATTTAATTCACCGTTACATAGTAAGCATTCTTAAAAGAATTGCTGGGGAAAATAATTTATAATAAAAAAAGAAATAAAAAAAAGATTTCCTGGGACTCGWACYGGGGCCGTCTGCACTCAAAGACCACGTTTTGTCCACTGAGCTACAATGGCAAATTACTTAGTCACATGGCTAAGACTGGCATTTATTTTGCCGACGCTCGCTAGGCTCCRTAAGCACAAGAATYGAACCGCTTGGGATGTCTGCTTTAACCCTTTAACGTCTGCTTTAGGGATTATCGTTCCTGCAGGAACAATGATTCTAAAAATTACAAGTTTCCGAGATCGCAAAAGAAGACCACCAAATGTACTCCATGACAACAGCTAGTAATTTAACTCTATCTTAGAGTTAAAACGATTTCACATCAAGCGCGATACTTGGGCAAAATGGACCCCTRAAAAATAGGAATGCCCAAATTCGACTTTTTGGTACACCGACAAGGCTGGAAATCAYGTCTTGCGCAGCCGATGTGCATCATGGGAGTCTGGTTCAAACTCGACAGGGAGCAACCAACATTCCTGTTTTCATAGTTTTTTTTAAAGTGCCTGACGTCGGCGACTCTCTGATTGGCTGACGACCGTGTTTACATGTATATCAGAGGACAGAGACATGCGCACCGTTTTATATCTCTTAATTATAGACTTGACCGATCAAGATGACCGACCAAAATGAAGTTTGACCGGACAAGTGTGAATTTTGACCGGAAATTGTCCATTGACYGGCCGTTATTTGGAGCCCTGTTATGTCACGAACGGCTCCTGGTTTTCAGGAGCTAAGCCATGATTGGTCAATCAAAGGGAAAGGAATGTTGTGCCTCGGTAAACAGCCGTTACTTTCGGGGAGGAMATTTGACGAGACAGGAAGTTGCAGCGGTTATAAGAGACCATGGTTTTAAGCCACGTTACGTTTKTCAAGTCTCAGGAAGAAGGAAGAGGAAGTCTCCCTGTCCTAAATCCACTGAGCCCTGGAGTGCACAGCCGCTGCCAGTGCCTCTTGYTGATCAAGAGTCGCAATTTTGTTTTTTCTCAGAGATGAAGTTTGATTTCTCAAGCTATAATTCAAGGTATTTGTTTCAATAAGTTTATGCAAATTTCTGGTAGATCAACATAGGCAGTTATATCGTCCATGGTAACCTAGTATATGTGCTAGCATAAAAATACAGTTCTTATGTTGCCATAGAATGTACTCCTCACATCTGATTCCAAGCTTATTGTGTTTGACAGCAMATTTTACAGAAGACTAGTACATCCACGCGGAAAATTGCAGTGGCAGAATCTCCTATAGACACTTTGGCCAGTTCCAATAGCAAAATCAAATATCTTTARAGCGCATAAAAAGTTTGCCAAACCCAATGGCATAGAAACCACTCACAAAAGCTTTGGATGATCTTGGTCTCGTTGAATTTTATCACAACTAGAATCGCACTTTAGCGATGATAAGCTTAATGTGACAGGAATCCAACTAGCATGATGCAATTATAAGAATGAATGAGTCTTACATGTACCAGACTTCTAAGAAATACTTCACAACACTTACCGACATATTGATTGAGCCTTGGCCGTTCCCCCTCCAATCAGAAAATGTTTTGGGGTATTTTATATGATTATTTCGACAGRATTTTATAACAAAATAGACCACACGTGTGCCTAATCGCATCACAKAGAGGAGGTGACTGTTGTACTTTTGGTCAGCTGAACAAAAATATTTGATGCGAGCCTGCAGTATTTGTCGTTAGCAGTATGTAAAAAAGGAAAATGGCGGAAAATTTTGACGAACGAAGTGGAGTTATTTACTCAAATACTCCTTGGGGACGGTGGGCTCAGACCATAGAAGACGTTTTCATCGAAATAGATGTTCCTTGCGGCACGAGAGGAAAAAATATACAATGCGATATCAAAATAAATAACCTGACTTGCGTCGTTCGTGATAAAGAAATCATCAAAGTAAGCTKTWTAARCAGTTTAATTTAAAAGCTTCTTACATGTATGGAAACCAGCGGTGTTTTTTATCATACCTCTCATTTTTATAACCTTATCATATAACTATATGCTTGGCTTTTGATCAGTTATAGAAATAACATATAATACAACTTTCAGCTTGATTAGTGTTCCATGGCAAAGACTTAATAAGTTAATTTTGTGTTGGAACTGGGTTTTTTTTTCATGACAATAACACCACCGCACACTTACTGTAGCTTTACATCCAAACCAACGTTGAATGAAATTATTATTTATAGAGTATTACARTAACAGTAAACTATATTTCATTTCATTAAACAAAAAAGGGATTATCATTTTGCCATGGTAACGCTAATCAACCTGTAATGGCTAAATGCAGCTGTTATACACTCTTCTTTGTAGAAATACTAAAAAAAGAAGAAAGTATCTATAGCAGAACTCCACCCCAAGATAGTTTTTTCTTGTTTTGTTTTTAAAAAAATGTTTTAAAAAATGAATATGTTTGTATGTGATCATGGAGTAATTGCTGCTGCATTTGTGATGAACTGGTTGACAATTTTATTAATATTAAAGTAAGATTTTTATTGTAATTTTCAGGGAAAATTGTTTGGAAGAGTAATACCCGATGAAAGTGTGTGGACCTTAGGTGAATTAAAGTAAATTAGTCATTAATCATTATAGAACCTATCAACACATACAGTAAAATATCAATTGATAGAGTGTAAATAATAAAAGCATGTTAAAGTAATACTGCTAAATAGTGCAACATAATACAGATTCCAAGGCTAGCATCTTCATTGAAAATTTCAATCCAGAAACCCAACATTTTACAATTTTTAAGTCATGTAATGTATTCTAGTCTTCAGGGTTAACAGTTTCCACACTAGCACCATTTTGRATAGTTTTTTCCATATCAGGTAGTTCCAGAAAATATCCGTGCCATACGACAGGCAGCATCGATTTTCGACCCCTCCTCTCCTTAGGAAATTCTGAAATTGGGTATCCCCTCTCCCCTTAGGAATTCCAAAACCGTGTTTTACCCCCTAGGAAATTAGTTTGCCCCCTTGAAAATGAATGAGAATAAATATTCTCTTCAAAACAAGCACTGTTTTTAAGAGAACGCAATCATAAAACTGATCTTTGGAAAACAATGCATTGTCTAGCTTCGCGGAAGTGCTTAAAAACACACGAAAATCATTGCTGTTGGATTTACTTATCTTTTGCTGCCTTGTATAGTTAACTTCTATTAACAAGTAATGTTCAAACAAATTTGACTAGAAAGAAAAAAAAAATGAACTATGCATGGTGTTATCTGCGACCAAGACATCAAGCTTTCATTTTGCAGTAAATATAACACTGTTAATGAATTACATTATAGGAAAATACAACAAGCTTTTATCATGAAACAAAATAAAATTTTGGAAAATACTAGGGGGGCTGCAAGCACCCCCAGCCCACTGGTTCCACCGCCCCTGAATCAATGACCCCCCTCCCCTCTGGATTTCTGAAATGCCGACCATCATATGGTACGGATATTTTCTGGAACTACCCATTTTCAGACTCTAATAACTATGTTGTAGTTCATATATATTTGTGAACCAGTTTAATCTAATWTGTTCCAGTACAAGACTGGTCTTTCTTTTTTTTTTGCTTTGGCATTCTTAAAAGAACTATATCCCATCTCATTTCTCTCCCATTTTCTATCTATCATCTTATCTTCTACTATTTCCTACTTTATCTTACCCTAACACAGAAATATTGATATTTTCTATATTTTTAATTTATGAATAACACTTACCTTCATCAGGGTTTTAACCTCTGAACTCTTGCTTGATAGTCCAAGGTACTACCAATTATAACATCGACAATTGTGCTGGTAGTAATGTTTCAAAATAAACTGAACCAGTTCAGAAGAAATTGAACTGGTTCAAAATCATATTGAACCTGAACTACAACAACTATATTTACAAATATCATGATTTTATCTCAAACTATTCCTGGAAGTATCAATATATGTCATAAATTATAAATACTTGATCTTACAAGTAGCATGTTTCAAAACTTTTTCTTATTTTGTATGGATATGTGCTGGCAGCTATACTGGTTAATTATTTTCTTTCTGCTTGTGACATTAATACATTCTATGATACATTATAATTACATTCATTTACAATCATTTTTTTTTGTTGATTGTTATTTCCTTGCATTTTTTTCTTTTTGCATACATGTAGTGTCAGTTTAGAACATGAGTGGCTCAAAATTGTAATTCCCATACAGCACAGACACAAATGTTGTAAAGAACTTATAAAAACACCAGCAATAGTAAACATGAATTAAGATGAGAAAAATGATAAAAAATGACGAATAAGTTAACTGTTGAGCTTAGTCACTAAGCATGTCTAATTAGCACAAGCAAATTTTGCATAGAGCGGATTTCGTATGAGTGGGAAACGGTACTGTACTGTGACCGTAATCGTACTGTAACCAAATTCTAGTGCCCCATTGGTTCACCAAGATTGTGCAGGCCAGGTCCGGTAACTGTGTGGTAACCGTGCGGTAACAGTGTCCCACTCATACGAAATATGCTCTATTATTATCTAAGTAGGAAGCTCATCTCCTCCATAGGCAAGAGCTTCTATTTGCTTCAAAATCTGGTGAAGTTCTTATTATGATGTTATATTAAAAGGAGGACCTTTTCTTGTGTTGAATTGTCTCAGTGTGCTGATACAACTGTACTGATACAACACCAGTATTGTACATTGTATCAGATTTAGATGTTCAGTCATCTAAGAAAAAAGGTTAACATCATTAACCCCAGAGATTCTCACATTTTTTCAAAATCGCAGATAGAGAGAGCGATGACACTGTACAATCACAGGACAAATAGATCATTTGGGTATTTTTAAGGAAGAACACTGGATACTGAAATCCATATTTGACATGGATGCCAGGACCTTTCCTCCCTTTGGAAAATGTCCTGTGAATGAGATTATTATAGTGTAATAAATCATGAAATATTAAATGATTTTTATAAATATATTTATAAATATAAAATTATATAATAGGCTTTTGCTTCATTTCAGAGGACCAGACATTGATAAGAATTGTGCTTGTTAAATCAGAACAAAATCCAGCAAAAGGCTGGAAGTCACTTCTTGTTGACCAATACCAAGTAGACCCTTTCACATTCAATGAAATGGAAAAGAAATTAACTCTTGAAAGATTTCAAAAAGAGGTATGTGTCATAAGTAAATAATATGTACACCCACAAAGTTACCAGAAGTTAGGGAGGGGGCATTTGAGGCTTTGAACCTCACAAAAAATATTCTGAATTCCTGCATTACAGCTAATAATGCAAATTCATCATCCACAAAGAAATAGATATTAAGATGAAACAGTCGCACTCCATCTCTCAGCACATCAAAGTCAACTTTTAAATGCAATTTGGTTGAGAATATACTTCAATAAGTTGGTTTTGTATGTTTTTCTGGCAATCGATTAGTAGTACTTTCAGATCAGGTAATATTTAGAGAAAATTTTTATTTTTTGATTTTATTATAGAATCCGGGCTTTGATTTCAGTGGTGCAGATGTGTCTGGTAATTATTCTAAAGGTGGCCCAAGTATTCCTGGAACAAGTTAACAAATATTTAGAAACCTTATTGATTGTCATGCCTTTAATACTGCACATAAAAGTGATTCTGCAGAAAACTAACTGTGGGATACCTGAGCTCAGGTATTCCATGTTTCAAAAGACCTAATTGGCTAAAACGTTGCCATATGTGAATGTACATTACCACCCAATTCAAATAGTGTGGGAAAAAGAACTTTTGTTTGTAAGAACTGTGAAACGAAAATACATTGAACAATGCAACATTATCCCAGGTGGATTGAAACATGATTGAAAAAGGTTACAAAAAATATTAATATTATATTTTTTAGTATTAAATATTATATAGAATTTGATTTAGATATTAAATCTTAAATCACTAAAATTGTCAGATATATATCCCAACCACCTCTTAGGTCACTGTATTTTTCATCCAATATCTAGACAACTGTAGATAACAGTAAGACTGACAATATTTTCATGCAAACACAAGATTAAAAAAGTGTGCTGATTACATTTGGCACAATGTGCTGTAATGTAGAAATCAACTGCTTTACCATTAAGCTTAACACTCCTAGGCTCATAATTTTTAAAGTTTAAATCCTGGTTTTCACGCTAAGCTCAAGTGTGCAAGGCTCATAAACATCGTGAAATCCGACCCAATGCAAGCCCAAACTTAAGCACTAACCAAAACACAAGGATCAAAATGCTCCTTCTATTGTGCTTAAGTTAGGCATTGCGTTTGCTCTCACTTCTGTGCTACATCGGTGAAAACGAAACACAAATGCAGACGCAGTGTCTCGACCAATGACAATACTAGTGCCAGTCTTGCAAGCACATGGCACTAGGATTGTTTCTTGCTGTGTGTTTTGCGCTTGTGTTTTCTTTTCACACAACATTTGTTTCTGTRTTTGGGTTTTGGCTTGTGCTTATAGCATTGGCCTAGTGAAAACCACGCTACCTTATAACCATGGTCAGGGCTGTCATCCCTATGAAATTCCTTGTCAAAGTCCTAGTCTTAATCTGGATCTTCATTTAGTAATTCATGCCTTAAAAAGTGTGAGAGTCTTTCATTTTCTAAAAAAAAAAAACGAAAAAACCTTTGATATTAATTTTAAAAGTTGAAATATTGAGACTGGGAGATTCGGCCGGAAATCTTGACATTTTCCAGGAGAGTTGACAGTCTTGCATGGTCTCTTAAAGAAAACCATAAATTAAGTGTAAAAAAAACTAAAGAAAAGATGCTAATTATAGTTTGATGGATATTACAATTATAATAATGATATCACTCTCTGTCAACTGAAATCAACTCATGGAACTGTAGTCTGAATCCAAATCATTCTTGTCCACTCTGAAAGCTTTATACAATGGCATTGTATTCTGTTGTATAATATTGTTCTTAAAAGTGACTTATATTGTTAATCTATTGTTACATGGATCTAATGAACACCCCTTTCTGAAATGGGAGGATTGTCGTTTGATTATTCATGTCTACGCGTCAGGACCAAAAAGGATTATGGGGATAACCAAATCACAGTTGCCAGCTATGAAACGCCTTGAACTCGCTGTTTTCAATGCCATGTAATTTGCCAAAATCATGCCTTGAGTGTATGGTGAAGATTTATGGGGATTGATAGAGGAAAAATTATTATTCAAGCAACTTTACCCATAATCCTTTTCAGTGGAGGCATGTAGGGATGAAGCTGATCAACGATAGCGTTATTAAGTCAAAGGTGATGAATGTGCAGCAAGCTAGGCCTCGTACACATTGAAGCTTCATTAATTTTTAATCATGCATGCAATCGAATGAACATACATGTGCCTTATATTCATGAGCAGTTTACTATTTGTGGTTATATAAATACCACAAAAATTCAGGTTTGCTCAAGCAAATTGAACTCATGGCTTAATTAGTAGTTAGGTTTAGGGAAAAATATAGGATAAGTAAATGCATGGTGCTGGTTCGAATCCTAATTCTTTTCCTTAAAAAAAATATTTTCAGTTTAAGTTTTTTAACTTAAAAGTTAAGTCTTTGGAACTTTGGAAATTTTCTAAGTTCTTTTCCACAAAATATGTACATGAGCATGAGAGGCCCTCTCCAGTACATCAGTCACAGGAAACCCAAGCAATGACTTGATCAAATGGGCTCCTCACTTTGATTCTATGTTAAAAATAATCCCGGGGGAGTTGGGGGGGGGAGGGGATACTCCCCTATGTTCGCTATATGGGTATGTGCTGCCAAGAAGGGTATTAATAACACTTTTAGCGATTTTACTCTGGAACAGGGTATCGATTTCAACAATTTTTCTCAGGATCAGGGTTTAATTGCAGAATTATCGATGCTGGGTAAAAATTCATGGGGTAAAAATTTGGTATACGCAGGAAAGTACTGGACTTAACTCTGGAACAGGAACAGAAAATAATTTTACTTCTAAAAACAGTTTACTTATAGTAAACTGTAATGTTTGAAAGTTCTTCGTAATTGCACGACATTCAGGGAAAAAAATATTAATATAATTAAAAGACAAATTACAACCATAAAATGTGCATTCATTTGAGCTATTTTTGATGTTGGCTTTCATACCATAAATTTTGTTGATAGAAACCAAAATACATCAAAGAGACGTGTTCAAAATATTTTAAATTTGATAGTACAAAATATAATGATTTTGAATATATTATAATTGCTTTTACATTTTCATGACGACGGAGTACAATAACCAAACTTGCTTGGGCTCCCTGTGTATTACGTATGATGCTATAAATAACACATCGTTGATCGCCAAGAGGACGGGCAGGAGGCAAGAGACTTCGATGGAATTACGGTTTCAAGATGTGGAGAACGCTTCGTAAAGGTTGGTTTATACAATAGTTAACTTTGAATTTAAACTAGAATTATAAATGAATGTAAAGATTAAGCTTAATTGTCAAATATGCTTGTTCTGACAGTGTTTTGCAAACGCGCTGGCACGGCAAATCTTCGCGAACGTCTTGGCCAAGTACAAATTAGCGACACAAATGACGGCACGACTGCATTGAACGGTGATCTACGACAAAAGCATGGTAAAACACATTTTGTGGAGCATGATCTTTCTCGCCTGGAAGACGGCTTCAATTTGATGAGAGCTATCCTTCTTCATGCGAACAGAAGTCGTCAAGAAAAGCAAAGCATGGCTAGATTAACTAGCTTTGTTGGCGAAGAAAAAGAAGGAGAAAGCCMATTTAGGACTTTGTTCGATGAATTGAAATTGGTAAGTAGAGCCATATAGTAAACTATAAGGGGTCACGTGGTCTTGCGTCATCTTTTTCCTAAGCCCACTTCAGATATAGTTGAATGGTCATAAGAAGATCGAGTCTACCCCTGAGCCTCGATTTCAATTCCTTAAGTGTGGGCTTCAACCAAAATATGCAATTTTAGGTCCCTCAGTCCATGTTTAATGTGAGAGACAGATTCAAATCCTCTTTCTCTTTTAAACTGGGATCAGGATATAATCTGAGATCTGAGTCGAAAACAAATGTGAATCGTACAATAATACAAAATTCCTACAAGATTGTTTCAATGTTTGCACTTCAATTTTTAAAGTAGCATTTGCCAGCCCTTGTTGAAAACAATCTGAAGTGAATGATAGGTAGGTGGTTAGGAAATTGCTTAGCCCCCCCAATCAAAAAAATAAAAAAAATCGATTCCTGATTGGATTATTCCAATAATAAAACGAAGTTCATGTTGGGTAAAGCGCGGGAATGACGTTCACTCGTTCGCGGCAGTGCATTCCAAAAGTTGTTTCACGATGTAATGTCGACGATACAAGGATGGTTTCTGATGCTTCCAAACCTCTATGTCCTCCAGAATATCATATGTCAAAGCAACAGGCTGCTTACCGCTATGTCCTAACGGATTGACAGAGCCATACCGRCGATAATGTTCTATGACGTTTGTTACGCACCGAAAAGTTACGCGAAGCCGTTCAGAAACTTCCGTTTTTGTGAGTCCGCCGTTAAATAATTGTATAATGTGTTGTCTTTCAGCAATCGATAAAGGTTTTCCTGGGGTGTACGGCCACTGAAGGCTATTCACCGCCGCCATTTTTTTCGAAATATGCAACGTACTGTTTATTTTTGGAATAATCCAATCAGGAATCGAGGTTCAAATCGACGTCAGATTTGAAATTTACATTGTCGGTTTTGTTTTTGCACGTTTAAATATAAATTTGAAACCAAATTTGGAATAATAWATCGAGCCTTCCAACCTCGATAGGAACGCTTCAGTAGGTTTGGCTGTAAAGTCAAACTAAACAGCCTTGACATCTTAATATTAGCTTTTACCCCAGCATCTGTGCAGTAGTTCGTAGTCATCACTATACGCATTGCATTTTATACCTCGTGCCCCAGCCTAGGGCCTTGGTACAAGTAAATAGCTCAACTTCTATTTTTGCAAAGAAAAAGCACAAAAAGGGACCTGAAAGAATGTGAGGACTACAACTCCCATTATGCTTTGTTGCACAAGATGGTGTTGCTGCACATTTCATATTCCAAATACATGTATGCTTTTTCATTTTTCTGTAGTATTGATATATTTTGATTTTCTCCTTGCAGTGGTGTTCTGGTGTTCTTGCATTATCCAGTATCCTCAGCTGCAAGACGTTTCTATATGACAAAGATCACAACATAGATATCAGGAAACTCCCTCAAGTTTTATACTTCCTCACTATACAAAATAATCCAAGAACTGCCTTAGCAATTCTACCAGTTCAGAGCGACTCTCAGCTTTCTTCAGAATCAATAAAAAATGAGGGTGACTCCCTTAACCATGCTGCTTCATCCTTTGCTACAGTATCAAATGAATGCACTGCAGCTTACCATAATAAATTAGGGGTTAAATATGCATCAAAGAAACAATACAAGAAAGCTTTTGATTTGTTTCAGCAAGCTAGTGAACAGGGAAACTCACTTGCACAATTTAACCTTGGGTTGTGCTATGAAAATGGCAAAGGAACTGAACAAGATCTTGAAAGAGCTGTAGATTGTTATAAAAGGGCATGTGCTTTGAATCACAAAGGTGCATTCTACAACCTTGCATTGTTTTACATGGAAGGTACTGGAGGAGTGCCTAAAGATCACAATAAAGCCCTAGAATTGCTGGAAAAGGCATCACAGGCTGATGTAGCAAAAGCCCAAGCCTATCTAGGCATATATTATGCACACAAATCACCTGAGGATTATTCAAAAGCAGTTTCATATCTTGAAAAGGCTGCCATAAAAAATGATGACAGTGCAGAGTATCACCTTGGTGTATGTCATGAACAAGGTTTAGGTGTTGAACGTAATCTTTTAATGGCTGGTCAGATGTATAAAGCTGCTGCAAGTCACGGCAATGTGGCTGCCCAGTATAATGTAGGGGTGTTCTACCAATATGGATTGGGGGATTTTCCTGTTGATAACCAAGAGGCATTGAGGCACTACAGGATGGCTGCAGAGGCTGGTGATCAGGATGCACTGCACAACTATTCTTTATTAAGGAAACAACATGACAACAGCAATTTTAAACATGACCTGCTCTGGACAATCTTTCATAAGATGACAGTTGGTAATACAAATATGCCTGTTGACAAAGGAATGGCTCGATGTTTGTCTACTCCAAATATTGTTGATAGTCACTCAGAACAATCTCGTGACAAGACATTAGTTGCATTTTAGGTCATCATTAGAAAAACATTCAAAGAATGATTGATTTATATGTAATTGGTTTTTACTAGTTATTTGCATTTTGATGCATAGTCTTTTAGCACTAAAATTTGTATATATTTAAACATAGATTTTGAAAAGTCCTATTAAAAACATTTAGTGGGGAATTTGATGCTGATTAGCAATAAACAGGCAGGCATATGGGGAGCTGTCATCCAACTTTAAAAATACAGACCTAACCACAGGTGGTCCATGACCAGCATATTGCTGACATATCTTGGTATCAATATATATCTGTATTAAATAGTCTCCTTCACGGTTACCTGCGCCATCTTGAAAGGTAGCCGTGCCTTTGCATCGAAGCGAGACAACCGTTGAGCGTGCAATGATAGATACCTGTGAATAATTGTCTGTAGGTGTGAAAGAAGGTTTCTATCATTGCACGCCCAACGGTCGTCTCGCTTCGATGCAAAGGCACAGCTACCTTTCAAGATGGCGCAGGTAACCATGAAGGAGACTATTGGCAAAAGTCACAGAGAACAGAAATGAAAAGCTTGTTGTTATACATCTATTTTAACAGGTGGGGGGGGGGGGATTAAAAAATCCAAGGAGTCACACAGGTAACCCAAACTTATTATCAGAGGACGATGACAAAATGTGTTGGACCGTTATCAATTTTGATACTTGTATTTACTTGATTTTTTGGATTAAGTATGATGCTATTTTCATATAAATAATCAAAGGAAATGTATGGATGTCCATATTGAAGGTCAGTAGAAGCATAGTTAATAGAGGGAGATGGTTATAAGGAAGGCGGCAAACTTTAAAGGGGTAACTCTTTGTTCAACCTTATGACCTGTCACGTGATAACTGCTGTGCACAAAACTCAATATGGTATCGTTCAGCTTTGGTTGATCATAGTTAAACTAACTATGGTAGAAGCTTGTAGACAATCATTTGTACATATACACATGGTTAATGTTCGGGCATGAAAGCTGTTATATAAATACCATAAAAATTTAGGTTCATTGAAGCGAACTGATCTTATGGCTTACTGCTTTTGTTTAGGCAATACGCGGACCCGGATAATTTTCTAAGTTCCTCTCTATATAAGGTGCATATGTTCGTAAATTTGGAGTTGTACAATGAGCTTGATTCATGAGGTTTTGGGTTACCTGTGCTAAGAAAGCATAGGAAGCCCAAGCTGCAGGCTAGTTTAGACTTGTCTTTCTTTCGTCTGTGTTTTATATTGTTTCATGTTTTTCCTTTCTCGCTTGAATCCTTCGATCAAGTTTATTTCCCATTTCAAAATTGTACGTACAGGATTAGTGAAAATGGCTGAAAGTTCAAAACCATTTATTGTTGAGTATGCACCTCAAGGTCGAGCCAAATGCAAGACATGCAAACAGCAAATTGAAAAGAGCTCAGCGAGGATAGGCAAAATGGTGACTAATCCTTTCAGCGACGATGGAGGCTTGATGAAACAGTGGTACCACATAAAATGCATCTTTGACACTCTACGTAGAGCAAGAGCAACAACTGCAAAGATTAACAGTACACAGGATTTGGAAGGATTTGAAAATATGAATGAAGAGGATAAGAAAATTATTGAAAGTTTTATTACAGGTAAAATTTGTCCATTAAGCTTAAAAGTTATAATTAAAGCAATAAAAGCATAATTAAGTTATCTTAAGTTTTATTACTAGCAAATGGATGAATGGAGGAACATAAAAACAGGCGCCTAAAAACAGAACTTAATCAAACTTAAATGCTTTAATACTTTGGGTTAAGACTTCAAAGTAATTAAGTTAAGTAATGAGCTTTATTTTAGTTAAGCTTATTTTAATTATTTTASTTAATTAGCTTATTCTCTCACTGGTATAAGCACACCAAGTGACAAATAACAAGAGAACATTTTCATGTCAATCTTTCCCAGTAACAGTACCTTATTCTTGTCTTTCATATTTTACTGATTGCTTGCCTATCTTAATACTTTCTTTTTAAACTATCATATTTTCAACTTAAACATTTTTTTATTCTTTAAATGCTGCTTCATGTTTTGTGTATATAGGTGAAGCTTTAAACACAAATAAATGCTCATCTCCATTGAAACCTTCACCTGCAAAGAGGAAAAAACAAGCCACTCTTACTAGTACCTTTAGTCCATCAAAAGGAGCTACATCAAGAATGTTATCTACAGATGCTGGTCCTTCTTCATTTGGTGGGAATACTTCCTGTTTTGAAGGTATACTGCTTTGATAAAGTCAGTAAAATGTTATTTTGTTTCATAGCTTAACCAATATGAGATAATTGTGAATATAATCCATAATAGTGTGATAAGGGATTTTATTGTGAATCTGTAACTAGTTTTTATTCTTTGAAATCTGCCTTAAGCACCCTGGATGTTTTCAATCAAAAAGATTCTCAACAAGATAATGCCAGTTATACTGTGTTGCGTCAGAGACCAGGAATCAACTTGTATTACATGTGTGAACTCTGATATTTGATGCATGTAAACAAGCATTATTAATTAGCAGTAGTTACAGTTTATTGACATTTGACTATACCACATTTGACTCCCTTATAAAAGTGGCGGGGGTCCTCGGTGGAAATTCTGAAAATGACCTGTAAAAGGGACCTGTATTGTGAGATGGTAGCCCCAATCAATAACAGCTCATTTTGTTTTGGTTTGCCGATTTTACTTGTGTTTTTGCACAAGCATCAAATGCCGTTGGCTGGTATTGAATTGTTTGCCTTTTTGTAATCATCTACATGTAATTAGTAGAATGTGGTTGTTGTTGATCTTATAATGATAGCTTCGGCTCATCATATACCAAAAAATGGACCACAAGACTCAGTTGGTGGAAATTCTCATCATTATCACCCTAAACGGGACCAAAACACTGATTTCAACCCCTAAAAGGAACCTAGGACCCATGTCCTTCCTTTTTTATTAGGGAGTCCTCCCCCCCCCCTCCCTGGGCATCCTCATGATAGTATTAGAATACCTTAGTTGTCAAGAAGTTTAGTTTGTATATAGTTGCTTAGTGTCAATAAACACTTGATGTAATATAGAAATAGAATCAAGTAATAAATGCAGAAGACTCATCACATGACCAGATTATTTCTGTGATATTGTGATATTATATTTAGTTTTGTGAATCTGAAAGCCGAAGCAATGATTAACAGCTGATGTCATGGGCTAAATTCGATGGTTTTTGGTTGATCCATTCACCTACAATCACTTACAGATTAGTTCTTATTTCATTGGGATAATCACAATTCACTTACACTAATTCATCACAGTTTGGACCATAATTAGTATAGATGGGCTCAYGCAATGACTGCTCTCCAGCATTGTTGGCTTCATTCAGCTGAGCTGGTRCAGCACTGCACCTGCATTGTAGAGGTGATGTGTTAGGCCTCATTTTTTCAGGGTGATTCATTCATCACAATTGCTTCTAAGATTATTCTTATTTCACTATACGTATTCACTTAATACGCAATATTTTATTTCTCTTGATATATGCATTTTTATTTTTATGATACCAATAATAAAATTGCATCATCTATTTTTTTGTGTCAGATAACCCATCAACGAGTAGAGCTAGCAAGGATGACAGTTTTCGTGAGTTTCGACGTCTCTGTACAATGTTAGCGAGTGAACCAAGTTATAATGCAAAAACAAAAATTATTTCCGATTTCATCAAAAAGGGAACATCACAAGGTACACAAATTATATGAATTTTGTGGATTATTACATTTTCTAAATGTGATTAATATATTAATTTTKGACAATGTTTGTKTTTGATATGGCTATCCTGTATTTTAGCAATGCATTTTGCTATGTCCCATGAGCAACATGTTGAATAATATCTGACGATCAAATAATTGATTTGCAGATAATTATACTGGGGATTTGTATTTGCTGGCAAAGCTTTTCCTACCAGCTGTAAAYAAGAGAGTGTACAACCTTCAGAGCAAGCAGCTTGTTAAGTTGTTCAGCCAGGTTTGTCTGATATGCCAGAAAAGCCTCACATTTTTTAATTGACTAAATTGTSTCACAATCCAAAAAAATGCCAAATATTTAGAATTCTTGGCACATGATTTAGCTACTCCAGCTTTAAAAACTCACAGATGAAGTATACATTTGTATAGTCTCAGTATCTTGAAGTGGAGAAACCACGATTKAAGCTTATGTTTAAATATATGGATCTTTATACAATATTTCTTTTCTTGCATTCTTTTGAGACAAACAGACTCTTACTGTCTTAACTCGGGATTGAAGGGAGAGTTGAAAACACTGACCCCCGGTCCGCGGACCCCTCCATGGACCACCTCCATGGACTACCCATGAAAACATTGCAAATGCCAAATAATAGATTTGACAAGAATTATTTTGCATTTGCTCATCCAATAAAGGGTGTTATGCATGCCATATAGTCAATTGAAACGGTCGCATCCCCGGAAAAAACGCGAATTTAATGTTTGAGTGGCGTTGAAATAAGACGTTTCCCCCGGTAGGGCTCGGTTGTTAAAATCCCCGCTAGACTTGTCCCGCTGTTTTGGTCTAGTAGTAAATAACAAAACAAGCACCTTTCAGTCAAATTTTCTGTGATACACAKGGTTAATTTTTGTATAATCCTGTATAATCTTTTGTGTACTACATTGAGGCTATGGACTGTGTAATAAGTTTCTTTTAAAAATTTTTCATACATGCCCCKCTTCAAAAACAATTAATCAAAATCCCGACCCCCGGGCAATCCTGCTGATAAAAGCATGTCACTATTTAATACTCCGCTAGTCCCAGTAGTTGGTGAGTTGGGGACGGGGGTTTYGAATTAAGTTAATGATTTTAACTTTGTCACGTCAGTCCTCTACACGTTATATTTTCATTTGATTTTTTTGCAACACAATTCCTGTTGCTTCTTCACATCAATTAGAAATTTATAGTGCGCAGATTTCCATCATAAACCATCTTGTGAAAAAGGAGTGGTCAGCGGTTAGCAGTCGAAAGAAAATTGGCTAAAGTTAAAAAATTATACCATGTAATAGAAATTTCCTACTCTTTAAATGTAAATCTGCGCACTATAAATCAAGCTGTTTGAATTTTCAATCTATAATGCGGCAAGCTGAAGATCGAAGCACGAGTGATCAAAAGACTGACGTTACAATGCGGCCGATCGACAACATGACAAGATAAATCATTAACTTAACACCCTTTATTGGATGAACAAATACAAAATAATCCTTGTCAAATCTATTATTTGGCATTTGCAATGTTTTCATGGGTGGTCTGTGGACATGGTCCATGGAGGGGTCCGTGGACCGGGGGAGAGTGTTTTCATCTCCCCCCGGAATCAAATCCTTTTTTTTTTTAATAAACTTTTTATTGATTAACATAATATACAAATGACATATTACAATAGATATTACAACAAATTTTACTAATGTTACAGTAACTATATACTAATATTATATAACACCACAAAAAGAGACAGTGAATATAACAACAACAAAACAACAACTACAAAAACATTAATCATACATATGGCAAACCCCCTTTTTATAACGATACTTTTCATTATTTATGCAAATTCTTTAAATAGAACTTAACTTCCATTTTTTGTAATGTCTAATTTTCCTTTGTTCAGAGCAATTGAATACTTTAATAGCATTTTAACAGATTCTAGGGAGGGATTAGCTAAAGACTTGTCTCTTAGTTTATAAAGTGAGAATTTGTACAAAATTATTATAAAATTAATCAAGAATACATTATCAGGTCCCAAGATTATGTTGGTCATGTTACATACTGGCATGTTGATGTCAAATTCCTCCAACCAATTGCGAATTTCAAAATAAAATTTTTTTGATTCTATGCATTCCACAAAAAGATGATCTACAGTTTCAGGGTAAACATGAGAGAGAGAGCAGGAGGCATGGCTGATAATTTTAAAACGATTCMGATMATAATTGAGATAAAGTATATTATTCAATATTTTGTATTGGAACATTCTCAAATAAATAGTGCRGTCTTWTAAATTCTAACATAAATGTCTTCCCAAGTAATTACAGATCYGTCATCCAATTCTCTTAYGCAGATTCGTCTGCGCTGTTGGTCTTATGAATGAACAAATGGACAGAACAGTTTTGCAATTGGTTTTAGGACTCTTTGTAGATTATAGGCATAACTAAGTTCTTTATCGTATGAGAAAAACATGCCTAGAATCTTGATGCCATTACTTTCAAAATCAATATATTTCATACTCCATTACTTCTTATACCTTCCATATCATCATTGATTCATACACAATGGACAAAATTAGACAAACAATAGGAAAAGGAATACAACTATGAAAACACTTACAGATGCAGGAATGCACTGTAAGATGTGAGACTATAGTAAATATTGAAAATTGAATAAATCTGCATAGTTTGACAGAAAAACCTGCATTTGAAAACATAATTAATATAAAACACTAAGTAACTAATGATGGAAATACCATATGGCTATTTWAATCTCTCATTCTTCTCATTGCACTTATGCACTAATATTAATAATATATATGAGCCTACTTTCAAAATTTAAGCATTTTTCATTTTATTTATGTCGTCCTCCATTTAACAGACTATAAGGCTCCGAAATTTACCGAAATATGGCAAGAAAGAGAAACTTAAACTAGAGCTCAATTATCGCGTGACCTACCACCATGAGCTCCTCGCCCCARGAATCGAATCCTAGAATTTGCTTAAAATTTCTTGTCCATAAAGAGAAAACACTCTAGTGTTTTCGTATCTCGTGATTTTGAATTGATTATTTACAAGGGACGCAATAAATTTTTTAAAAAACGTACATTTTGCATCAGCAATTTAGCCGTTACATCGCAATCTATGCAAGGGTATTAGATGACGTAYGCTACTTTTTGACCCGTTTTAGATATTTTGGTTTGATGACTATGTACAAAAGAACGCACATGAGGCTCCAGGAAAACAATGGATAATCTTGATTCATTCTTTTATTTTAATATTCTTTTATTTATTTCCYCAAAGCCTCATCTACAATTCTTTTGTGCATGGTCACTGAACCAAAATATCTTATATATGCATAATATTTTATTATTATTATATTTTAGATTCTTGGCTGTGACCATGATGATATGATAACTGATTTGGAAAAGGTGAGTACTGTGATGACTGTGTGTAAAATTAAATTGTGATTTCTACCAAATTTAAAAAATCTACTCACCATTTTTTAATTATATAAAATAGTAGGCTTTTATAAAAATTAAKTGAAAAAACATGTTGTCTGGTCATGAATTTTCATTTTTTTATGGCACCACTCTGTGTTTATTTTTAAGGGAGATGTAGCAGAGACTATCAGCAACTATTTTRAAGGCAATACCAAATGTAAACCTTTAAAGAAAAGCATCCTGACCAATCAAGAGGTACTTGTAACCTGGGCATCTCTGAATCTGACAATGTTTTGTARAGGCATGAATTAGAATTCATATCATCACAGAAAGATAATCTTCATTAGGTGTTCAGTGGATGTTGTAGACTGATGGATTTACTAAGAAAAAATGGGAWATTGGGAAGATATGATGTGAATATAATTATAATAAAAACTAAGGATGTTAGAAGCACTTTAAGATCCTACAAGTAGACAAAAGGATGACATATAGATAGTGAAAGCATGATTGAAAGAAAGATGTATAGTGAAGAAATGAAGGGAAAAAATAATTGAAGGACAATACTCCGATTTCGAGTTCTGGTTTGCTCTGTGTTAGCCTCAAAACCAAGTAACATTATATTCTTTTGTTTCATTGATAGCCTGAGAAAACGCATGGAATTTGAAAAGAAAGACAATGGAATTGATTTGAAATCTCACACTTTTATTCTCACAATTAGGAATATTTTGYGCACAAATGAGGCTAACACAGAGCACTGGAGAATTCGAAACTGGATTATTTAGAGAATTTTAGAAGTAAAAGCCTAAGAGAGTTACGAAAGTATGATAAAAGGATGAGTAAAGGTTAGTGGAATGTGAAGGACAAAATATTTAAGGAGGCTGGAAGGATGATGGACAAATGATGGAGGAATAATAGGGCACTGATCAAGGGATGAAAAAATGATGTCAGAAGGATGATTGGAGAAAGATGTAAGGGATATTAGAAGTATGATGGGAGAAAGATGTAGGGATACATGTATTAGAAGTATGATGGGAGAAAGATGTAGGGATATTAGAAGGATGATGGGAGAAAGATGTAGGGATATTAGAAGTATGATGGGAGAAAGATGTAGGGATATTAAAAGTATGATGGGAGATTTTAAGAAGGTAGTAGTCATGGTGGAAGGACTTTTGAAGTTTGGTAGAATTGTGGAAGGATGATGAAAGAATAGTGGAAGGACAGTACAAGTATGTGGAATAATGATGGAGGATTCGTGGAATGACATAATGGATTGTCATGCAGTTTAAGGATGATTTTAGGTTAGGGCACTGGAAGGATGGAAGGGTACTGGAAAGAAGATGGAAACAAGACAGTTTGAGGAAGATTTAAGGGTAATGGACAGATGATATGATGAAATATGGTAGGGGATCATGGAAAGGATCATGCTAGAATGATGGAAGGTCAGTAAAGGGATGATGGAATGATGGTGAAATGATGGTCGAAGGATGTTAACAGACAATTGAAGGATTTTTGAARGATGATGGAATGGAAGGATGGATGGAAGGTGATTTCATATGATTGATCATGCTAAAAACCAGACATAAAATCTATTTTTCTGAGACTTAGAGGGGTTTCTCATGAAACACAAATTCTTATTAAAAATAAATGGACTATTACAACACTATAGAGATCAATTAATGCTAAAATGGTAAATGGCTGATTTGTGTTAATTCTTTTGTTATCTATATGTTTAGTGAGSAATATATAGTAGCAAGAGCAGTCAAAGTGTGTAAATTCAAATGTTTTTGTACTCTAAGCATTATTTTTAGTATTATTTCGCTTCTGATTTTGTTTTTCTTTTTTTGGATATTTATGTTAGGTAGATGAGTTTCTTGACAGCTTAACAATGCTTTCAAAGGAAGAGGAACAAATCAGGGAATTAACCAAAATTTCCAGAAAATGTACACCTAATGACCTTAAGTATATCATCAGGCTGATTAAGCATGACCTTAGAATGAACACTGGAGCCAAACATGTGTATGTATCAAAATTAAAACACTGATTTATGCTATTAAAAATGGTATTCATTACCTAATAAATCAGGCAGGTCAATTCTGCATCAGGATATATGTTTGAAAAGAGGCATAACATCATTTGCTCAATGATAAACATTTTAATGTCTATTAAAAAATTCTTGTTTATCTCAACATACTTTGTAATGAAATGCCTGCTAAATAAATGTTKTACATTTAAGTCTTTTTGATGTTGTTTTTCTTGATTTTGTAGACTTGAAGCAATACATCCAAGTGCATATGAAGCATTTCAGGCATCAAATGATTTGTATGATGTCATTAAAAGGTCGTGTAAAMAAGAAGAAGGAATGCCATCACTGAACAAAAAACTTAGTATCCGAGCATCTGTGATGACACCTGTCAAGCCCATGCTGGTATTACAATATAGCATATCAAATTATTAATGTGCAGAATTTACGACCATTTTCAATCATATTTCAAGTATTCATAAAATATACCAGAAACTATATGGGATATCATTGACAATATTTTTTWCAGAAAGTGATCATAGTGCTTGGCAACAAAAAATATCAGCGATTTCTTTAAAAAATATCAGCGATGATATCTTATAATTTCTGAAAYATTTTGGAATATGAGTCAAAATGATCATAATTTCTCCATATTGCTGTATAATTATTTGATAATATGAAACAGATGTCATAATAAGCATGTAGAGAATTGAGTCTTCTAGGATTTAAATTAATTTTACTTTTTTGAAATATTAGACCATAAGAAAAATTTTTTTTAAGAACTTAATTTATATAATTTGTTAGCACTGATTATTATTAACACTCAGACAGTTTCAAAGGATTTCTTATAAAAGCCTTGCATCTCTATATTAAGCAAAAGAACTGAAAAATGTGTTTTTGGATTAGTTGGGATTAAGAAGAGATTTAGAAAGTTTTTTTCTTTTTTAATTTGTTCTTTTAATTAGTTTTTTTCTTTTTTAATTTGTTCTTTTAATTAGCTTATTCTTTGTTGTATACTTATTGACTACACTTATTTGATGTCTTATGACATCATTCCTTGTTTTTTTCTTTTGTTCTCGATCGATGTATTTAAGCCTAGTATGGTTTTTCTGAAAACCATGCAGTGTCTGTTATTGACTGTTATCTTTTCGCTGAACAAATAATATTGCTTAAAGAAAATATATTGAATGTTATTTATTTCATAAGGCTGAAGCTTGTAAGTCATTCTCTCAAGCCATTAAGAAGTCTCCAAATGGAATGTATGCAGAAATAAAGTATGATGGAGAGAGAGTACAGGTAATAGCAAGGTTATAACATTATTATATGGTTGCATGTTACCACAGAAATTGACATTGTTTTAGTGAATCTCAGTTTGCCTGTAAAATGCAATAAGAGTCTTGATTTTCCATATAAAATTAATCACAATCATGTACTCTCAACGGCTGATGACTGTATGTATAGTTTAAACGTGTGAAGAGTGTTTTAAATCAGGTATAAAAATATAAAAGGTAAAACCCCCAACACTAATTTGAAACYGTTAAGTTTCAAAACCGTTAAAATTCTTGGAGAAATTGCCGTAAAAATAAGTTTTGAGATAAATGGGGCAAACTGATCATGKGCGAATCACTTTACWAAGCAATCTTGTCATCCCACATTGAATATGCATAAAGTAAAATAGAACCGCTCTTGGCTGTTTACTGCAATCGGTTGACATCCTGCATTGGTCAATGATCAGGAAGGTATCAAACCTGAGACCTTTGCTAGGGTCATTGACCTTTATATCTGATAAAGGTCACCCTTATTAGTATTCTTTATATAAAGAWTACTAATGAGGAGTGTTTTATCAGATATAAATGTCTATGCATGTGACCAAACAGGCTCATTCTATTGGCCTAATAACTCATTAATTATGTATGAGTTTTTGAAGGTCCATGGACATGTTTTACTCAAAAAAGAACGACCTTAAAACAGCTGTTTGTGTCTCTGGAAGATGGATACGTGGTTTAAGAGAGATAACATCTGAGGATATGAAATTATGGGAAATTTCCCTAATTATGAAAGTATATGATCATACTATATATCATTATAATTCTTGTAGGCTAGCTTTAGGATTACATTATGCAGCCAATTAATTCTAGTATGGATTTACTAGGTACACAAGAGTGGAGACAAGTTTCAATTTTTCAGTCGTAGTCTTAAACCAGTTCTTCCACACAAGGTATAATCCAGTGCAATATTATTCAATCTAAAAGTGCTTTTATTGCATGACAGTGTGTTGATTTATGCTGTTATCATCTAGGTTTCATCTTTCAAGGAGTATCTTCCCAAAGCCTTTCCACATGGAAATGACTTGATCCTTGATAGTGAGGTACGGTTAGAAATTCTATGGATTTGTATTATTCATATTTTACTCAAACAGACATTTGTTGCCTTTATTGTTTACTTTAAGGTTCTTCTTGTTGACAATAAGACTAGCACTCCTCTTCCCTTTGGAACACTTGGTATTCACAAGGTATGGAGGTTGTGAATGAGTCAAAGCATTTAGAGCCTAGTAGTATATTCATCTTCTTCAGGCACTATAAGGCACAGAAGGCTTCATCACACATTAAGAGACTCAAATAATTTACCTCAATTAAATTGATACAATTATATTAATATATTTTATCAATATTGTTGACTTGGCCATCCTGGGATGATCATGTGTCAGTACATCATCAACAATGACATATATTCAGAGTTGCTGTGCTTCAGTGGATTTGGTGCCAATTAGGAGCTGCCCGCATGACCCGTATGTTGATTGTCCAAATAAATTCAAATTGCTCTAGCTCTGCCATGTTTTTTCTTCTTTTTTTTATCTACAGAAATCTGCCTTCAAGGATGCAAATGTGTGCTTGTTTATCTTTGACTGTCTTCAATTTAATGATCAAAACCTAATGAACAAGTACTGTCAAATTTGTTTTTAATCTCCAGAACTACAAATATTTTATGAGTTATCAAAATAATGTCTATATCTCTTCATTTTTTGACACATTATTCAGAAATCAGAATTAAGATATTATATATAGACAGCTACCTTTTTCATAGTTAATATTAACTATTAACTGTGTCTTTTTTATTTCATCAAAAGAACTATGCAAGAAAGAAGACAATACTTAGAAATGAATGTGACTATCATACCAAACAGAATTATGCTTTCAGAAA